GTGGCTACAGAAGACATTGAGGGGACGCTCTTTATCAGGGATTCCAGTGACAGGACATGGGGTAACAGTTTTAAACTGAAAGAGGGAAGATTTAGATGAGGTATCAGGAAGAAATTCTTTCCTTTGAGGGTGGTGAGACACTGGAATGGGTTGCCCAGAGGAGCAGTGGATGCTCCATCCCTGGAGGGGTTCAAGGCCAGGCTGGATGGGGCTTTGAGCAACCTGCTCTGGTGGGAGGTGTCCCTGCCCACGGCAGGGGGGTTGGAACTCAGTGATCTTTAAGGTCCCTTCCAACCCAAACCATCCCACGATTCTATGAAAAAAGCCACCCAGCGGTGAGTGACATCATCTCCCCAGTAAAGAATGTCTTTGCAGCACTTGTCAGGTCCCAGTTTCCACGTGTTCTCTGCCTCGGCAGCTCATTACACCAGCTCCCACGGGCTGTTTATAAACCCGTGTAGCCACCCTGCATAACTACCCCCTCTCACACATCCAACATCCTGCAATAAGGACGACAGAACCATCACCAAGAGCATTAATTCTCTTCTACTGTCTCTCTAGACAGAGGACCGTCCATGGTTTTCCCAGCTTAGGGATAAACAAGGAGTTTTCATCAACGAATACTGACTGTGGTGCAGAGGAGAGCAGGCAGAGAACGGGGCTGTTTATCTCCACCCCTGAGCATGAGTCATTCCTCCACCGCGGCTCTCCCCGCCGGTGGCTGTGCTCACACTCATAAAGCAGCGGGCGGTTTAATTATCAACAGGGAAGCACAAAAGACAATACTCCATTTGCCTCCCTCTGAAGTGATTCAAAGAAGAGAGAGACTAGGAAAAAAAAAATAAAAAAGGCTTAAATACTACACAAGGCACGAGACACAGCATTTCGCGTGATTCCCCGCACCCTCCTTTCACTACACCGTTTCCACATCTATGCATTTCTGGCTTGCTGCACAACAGCAAGTGTTTTATGCATAAGATATAATTATAAAACAGAAAAGAGCTTATTAGCATCTCTTCAGTTTGCATTAAGGTCTTTGGCAAACCTTTTCTTAGCCTGTGCGATATGCAGAGACCTCAACGCTTCCCACACTGGTAAACAGATGAGAATATCATTAAAATTATGAGCTTTTAAGCTAGAATTAGAGAAAATGTGCCATTTTACCTTGGCTTTAGTAAACCGTAAATCTCTTATTGCCTTATAGGAAACATTTTCCAGTGTTCTCCAAAGACACTTTAGAAGGAATGTTCTAAAAAACAAATGGTATAAACGCTCTCCGGTGCTTTGGGTAGGAGCTGAAGTTTTTCTGATAGAACTCGTGGGACAAAACAGCAGCCAGTGCCTGGTTGAAAAGAACATACATCACTACACACCACCACGTCAGGTTGTGAAACCCAAGCGTGATGGCCATGGATACATAGATCAGGAGCTCTGCAAAATAGTGAGGGCAAGAAACTCTCTCAAACCAGTCCCCGAAAGGTACGCTGTGGCCCAGACTTACGACCTTCCCTGCAAGCAAACAGAAGGAAATTAGGTAAGAACAACATCCATGAAATAAACTTTTATCTTCTACTCCCGATTACAGAACAAAAGGCTCATTAAGGTTATCATCATCATCCACCTCCATCTGATCTGGCAGCTTTGCATTTCCTAATGAAGTTAAGATGCCACCTCTGGCTGTTTGCGCAAATACAGGGTAAGGAAACCTATTTTTAGCCCACGTGGAGACAGAAGGGAGGTCCCCGAGGAGTGGCACAAGTCCTGAGCATTAGCACGTGGCTGTCCTTAGGACAACAGAAGCTAGACCTTTGTTAAAGTTCTATAAAGCCATAGATACACAGACACAGAGACACACACACTCCCCACTCAACCATCCAATCTCGCTTCCCAACAGCCTCATTTAATGTTACAGTCTTACAGAGAGCACCCCACTACAGGAACTGAAAAATACTTGTTTTAAGGTATTAGAAGCTACCCAAGGCAATTGAAACAACCAGGAAAAAATCACCCAAGGAAATGGTTGGCAGAAAGGAAACATCTTACCTGATTTACTTTTTCTAAGATTAGCTAGAATCACAAGACATCTGTGCTGGTGAAGAGAGGCCCAAACGTACATCATAACTCCTACAACGTGATACCAGCAGATCTGCACAGAAAGCTCTTTTCCTGCATGAAATACATTTCATTAATATTTGGCCAGGAAATAACTTCCCAAGCATCATCCCCAAACACCCTACATATTTTTTAAATGTTACTGTCTTACAAAATTCTAGGAGTGAGCCTCTAATCCCTTGAAAGATGCTTTTAAATCCTGCGTCGTGTAAGCGCTCAGATGGTAGTTCATTTCTATTAACCGCTCTACACTAAAAATATCTACTTTTTAATCCAGTAGCTCGAGGTACAGCATGATGTACAACCAACACAGAATTGATAGATTAAGACCTCAATATTCAACACTGTCATTTTCACCATCTTAATTAAAGATGTTGTCATGGCTCAGGTCAATGTGTAAGTACACAGTCGTATGTATGTCACTCACTGTGAACAAGACAAACATACACACATACATTGACACTCACATACACAGTGTGAACCATTCAGGCCTTCAAAAAAAAGTTAACTGTATTCATTTACAAGCCAACACACCATCTCTAAGAATCTACAAGATGGAAAAAGGTCCAGAAAGACAGGTCCAGAAAGAAAAAGGCTTTATCTCAACATAGGAGATCGGAAGGTCCTTTTAAAAAAAAACATTAAACTAGAGCTGATGTGGTTGGAAGCAGTTAAAAAATTAGTCATAAGAGAAGTGCTACAACCAGCCCGTGATTCATCTGTGCAGGGGAACAGCAGCTCAGCCTGTGAGACTCAGCGGAATGCGTTGGCAGAAATAAATCATATAATTCCAATTTCTGCTGTATTAGTGGAGACATTACAGCAAGGGGGGAAAGAAGAGACTGACTGATGCAAGGCAGAGCAGTGGCAAGTTCCCAACAGAAAACAAAGGTGGTGGTCTTGCAGGCTCACCTTACAGGAAAGCTTACAACAAAAAACCAAACTCCAGTTTGAGAAGTGAAGTTGTGTAGTGGCACTTGAGAACTGGTGCCTGTTACTGTCCTTCATAAAGTGTATGTACCTCAATGCGAGTCTGATCGGAAACAGTCCTGAAAGTATCTATGTGAGATGTCTTTCAGGAAGCACCAGTGAAGACTGGTGGTCTTGCAGGCTCACCTTACAGGAAAGCTTACAACAAAAAACCAAACTCCAGTTTGAGAAGTGAAGTTGTGTAGTGGCACTTGAGAACTGGTGCCTGTTACTGTCCTTCATAAAGTGTATGTACCTCAATGCGAGTCTGATCGGAAACAGTCCTGAAAGTATCTATGTGAGATGTCTTTCAGGAAGTACCAGTGAAGACAAGGCTGAGGGGTGACCTTATTAATGCTTCCAAGTATCTAAAGGGTGGGTTGAAGGATGGAGCTGGACTCTTTTCAGTGGTTCCCAGTGACAGGACGAGGGGCAATGGGCACAAGCTTGAACATAGGAAGTTCTATTCAAATATGAGGAAAAACTTCTTTATGGTGAGGGTGACCGAGCACTGGAACAGGTGCCCAGGGAGGTCGTGGAGTCCCCTTCTCTGGAGATTTTCAAGCCCACGTGGATGCAGTCCTGAGTGATGTGCTCTAGGCAATCCTGCTTTGGCAGGGGAGCTGGACTAGATGATCTCTAGAGGTCCATTCCAACTCTGACAATTCTGTGAAAATGGAACTCTGACAATTCTGTGATTTCATGAAAGCGTGGATCAGTGTCTGTATAATGCTGGTTGATTATGTGAAATAGCAAAACCTTGACTTTGAACTATGCCAGTAAGTATTTTTACATCTTACCAGTTAACACACTATTCTGTGATTTCATGAAAGCGTGGATCAGTGTCTGTATAATGCTGGTTGATTATGTGAAATAACAAAACCTTGACTTTGAACTATGCCAGTAAGTATTTTTACGTCTCATCAGTTAACACACCTCTCACACAAGCGGCCCTCTATGAAACCGAGTGAACCGTTTGCCACGACGGAAACAAACGGGAGGCAAAATACATTCTTTGGGAATAACCAAGCAGGCCCTTACCATTCCTGACGTCAGCAGGCACTTGACATAGCACAGTGGAGCCGACAGCAATGTAATAGGCAAGTCCAAAGCAATATTGCACGATATGAATGACGCCGCTGGAAAACACGCTGGTCCAGAGGCACTCTGCAAGCCTTCGGCAGCTGTGCAGCCAGAGCAGCAGGAGAACCAGGAGTGCAGAGAAGTGCTCACAACCTGCTTACAGATAAAAAATAGCAACTTTGAGACAGACAGGAACACTTTAACCCCGACAGTGTTTCCAAAAAAGGCTATTTTTTTCCCCTCCTCACAGCAAAATTTTACCCTCAACTGGGTAAATATCTGTAGAATGTGCTCTGGGGAAAATACTTGTAGATCTGAGGCACTGCTGATCACAGCAAGATTACTTCTAGAAGGTGCTAATGGCCCTTTCTGCTAAAAGGACTGCTGAAAGCCATCATGTACATGAACTAGAAAAGCAATCATATACACAAATTAGAATGATTTCTACCTTGGATAACGACAAAGGGACGTGGTATTCCAGAAAAAGTCCACAGAATCACAGAATCAAAAAGTCCCCCGGAGCCTAGTTTAAAAGCAGCTGAAAAATACACGTTCAGCACAGGATGGCAGTGAAGCTTTCTAACATTTATATGGCTGCACTGTAATAGCTGGAATACTTGCCCGTGTCCTCGCTCTGAGAATCTCTGCCAAGAGCACGGTGCACGTGCTGAATCCATGATGGGAGTGACCCTCCAAGGAACTCAGCTCGGAAAAGCCAGATCAGCAGAAAGCCGTTCCAGAGCACAGAAACCACATAAAAGTGAGTAAACCACCTGTGGGAACAAAAAGAGGCTTCATTAATGTTCTCATCATTCCTTAGTTGGAAATGTAGCTGCAGGACAGGCTTGCCTGATGGTGAGTACATGACCTTTTGGCTCCCACATCAATAAGTAGACAACTCGGGCCTCCAGTGGCACCAAGCAGGAATAACCCTAACACCTTCCTCCCCCAGTGAAATGCTGCATAGAATAACCTCTAATTTAGCTTACCTTACTAACCATAGCTGCACTAAAGAGAAGAAAGTGTAAACCATGCATTGCAAAGGTATTCCTCAACACTTACAACTAATCATGATGTGCACAACCTTTTCTTTGTAATTTACACCACTAAAAGCATTTCCATATTAATGTTCTGGGCATTTCCAGGCTGTTGTGCCTAGCAGCACTCCCACTTTCCTTAGTTCTCGTGGATGCATTACACAACTTGTTAAAGTTCACAAATGAGAAATTCGGATGGTAAAAGGCAACCAGAAGTAATTAGTCAGTTGTTCACCAAGATATCTTGTCCTTCTGCAAATCCAAGGTCTGCAACAATCATATAGAAAAAAAGGAGAGACTGCCAGAACCACTGGGTGACTACAAGGCAAGACCACATTTTTTTTTTTTAATAAAACAAAGTATCCCTCAACTTCATAGTACACTTATAAAAGCACATCATGCATTACTGAAATGCAATTACGGTCAAGACTGGTAACTGGAGGGACTTAAACAGCCTTATGATATCCAGCTCAAACTAGGTGATGCAGTATTTCCTTTGCTTTTAAGATTAGAAGTCCTTTTGGCTATGAATAAAAATCAGAACCTCTGGAAACACCTGCAAAGTGATGAAATATGTACCATGAGAAGACGCTGACAGCCTTGTCTTGACAATGTAACTATCAGTGCAAAACTAGGATATAACTGTATAGTCAGAGAAAACGGTATTTCTCTGGAAACATGCAAACTCTTCTTTTGGGGGAGTGCAGGGGTACAACACCCTTGCTTAGTGAAAGTACCGTGACCCCCTCCCAAAGCACCTCAGGTGACTCTCAACAGCAATACAGAGGCCAAATCAGAACCAGAGAGACAGCGAGCATCCCTTCATGCTCCAGAGCACCCTGCCCATTAGCAGTTGGAATCCCCTTCACATGATCCTTTCTCCTCTCCAGTTCCTTCTCCCACCAAGCAGAAAAGCACCATTCGCTCTGCTGATTTGCAACAGAAGTAAAATTTAGCCCCTCTCTTGTTTTCTGCTTCAAAGAAAACTTGTATATTGATAAAAACTCCACCTCCAAGTTTTCCAGCTCCTTCCCTGCTGTCCTGCTACTCAGTAGACTTCTTTCTCATCACTCACCACAGAACTTTCTCCACACACGTTGCTTTTTGCTCCCAGCAGACAAACAAGCCCTTCCAGCTTAGCAGAGACGTGCCCTGCAAGCATTCTGCAATCCCAATTACGCTGGGGATGTATCTGGCCTACAGAGCAATCCAGCACTGCCCTGTCACCCCTCAAGGACACAAACGTTCAGTATTTGCCAAACCAACCTGAAATGAATCATAACATTTGACAAGATGGAAGAGCAAAGTTAAAAACAAGCCCAGGCTAACGAAAATACAGTGCTTGTTTGGAAACAAGGTGCAGATGAATGGAAACACAAAATGCTTCAATGACTACCATCAGGATCCTCTCTGTTCTTTCAGCTGGCAAGGTTACAGGTTCACTGCTCAAGCAACAGAATTGCTTTGTAGATGTTGAGAGCTCAAGACCAATTCCCTGAAAAAGCCACCTTGTTCAGACACCATCTTCCCTAAAAAGAGGTGGTTGGAAACTTCTTTTGGAGAAAGGACAACTCAAATGGAACCTACCTTAATAATGTGGCACTTCGCAGTACACTGCAATTAAGACAAAGCCTTAACGAGCCCTTATTTTTGCTGAGGGTACCACAGAGCATAAACACATCCCTGGGTATTTTCTGTAACCAGAAGCCTGATAACTACAACACTACATTACAACCTTTCAATGAATAACATGCTGTGTCACAAAACTTTTTTACCACTCGGTTTGCAAGCTATGGATATGAAATGTGTCAGTGCTAACAAGATCATTACAATGGGAGTGATCAGATCTTTGGGTTAAGTAGCCATCCAGTGTTGTCCTACTGGCCAGGCAAGAGCCTGTCGTGCCTAAGTCCAAGCCAAAGGCTAGTTCTAGTCACAAATCTCAAATTATCAAAAATGATGAAATCCCAGTAATGAATAGAAAGCTGTAAGTGGGTTTCCCCCCCACACACTTTCATCCTATTAAACATCAGTAAGAGATACATTTGGATAACACAGCTATTCTTTTGCCTTATTACACAATCACAGAATGGTCAGGGTTGGAAAGGACCTTCAGAGATCATCCAGTCCCACCCCCCCATGAAAGCAGGGTCACCCAGAGCAGGTTTGACAGGAACACATCCAGGTGGGTCTTTAGTATCTCCAGAGGAGACTCCACACCCTCTCTGGGCAGCCTGTTCCAGTGCTCCATCACCCTCAATGTAAAGAAGTTTTTCCTCATGCTGAGATGAATTTTCAGTGTTCCAGCTTGTGCCCGTTGCCCCTCGCCCTGTCCGTGGGCTCCATTGAGAAGAGTCTGGCCCCATCCTTAAGAGGTTGTTCACGCCGAGTCCTGGCCGTTACTAGTATGCTAAGTCACATTTTAAAAAGAATCCTTGAAGGAGGAAGACGACTGAAAATCGGTTTAAGCCAGTAAACCTGAGGTACATTTGCGCAGTCTCGCTCAGGAGACACTACTCCCAGGTCCCCCACCTCAGCCTTACAGGAAAGGCTGGTTCTGCAGACACCGGGATTCAAGGGAATTAGGTTTTTGCTCCAATTTGGGAGACGTGGGCTCGGTACCACCACCGTCCCTCCGCTCCCCCGGCTCCCTCAGGGGAGCAGAAATGGCGGCGGGGGCCCGCCCTCCGCACCGCCCCTCTCCCTCACCTCTTGGGCACCTGGAGGAGGCGCAGCCAGGCCGGGCCCTGCCCCGAGCCGCCCTTCGTCTTCCCGTAGCGGATGAGATCCTGGAAGAGGCCGGAGACGAAGCCGCCGGGCTGCCCGGCCCGCCATAGCAGCAACAGT